CCAAAGGTGTTTTTTCAAGAGGCAATTGGACTTTCCAACTTTGATCACGTGACCAGGGAGTGCTGCAATGGTCATAAGTGTGAAAAATAGTCATAAGTCACTTTTTTTCAGTGCCGTTATAACTGTTGTAAGTCTCACCTGTATTGTGAGAAATCAAGATTGACTCAAAGGTCTCTCTCCCTCCCTCCTTCTCTCCCTCCCTCCCCACTCTCTCTCTCACACACATAGGCTAGTTAAATTCATAAGAGAACAAAGATGAAGTCAAGAAGGGCAAGAAAGAAATCTAACTCAATAAAATTTGGGGTGAGCAGTGCAGAGTCTAGGATCTACACAAAACATCCAATTTCAGGAGCAAATACACAACAGTTGGCTTTTCATGACAAGAAAATCAATTGAGAGCTGTCTGTGATTCAGAATGGCGTGCCAACTAGCCATTGTCTGTAACAGGCCATCTTAGCAGTTTAGCAGATAAACGAACAGATATATTGGCACGCTAATGCCCACAATTTTAAATCTCAAAGTAGTTTTACACCATTAAACCTACAGAATAGAAATGACCGGTTAAAACAAGATAAAACAGAACAAAAGTGGCATGTTCAACTGAAAAAGGAAAAGAAATGAGCGAAAGAAAAAGGAAGAATAATGATACACACACCGTGGTATGTAAAAAAAATGGGGGGGGGGTTTGGGATTCAACTGCACAGCCACAGATCTTATGCAATTACAAATCTTACACAACACATCCAGACCCCCTTAACTGAGGTGTTTGCACTGTTGCTGTTGATCATTAGATCGTCTAGCTCTTGGGAAAAAGAGATTATGATGAAATTGGATTGACAGGTTAGAAAATCTCTGGGAAAGGACTCAGAAGAGTTAGTTGGGCTAAACTGTAATCAGAAAGATATTAAATGTATGTTGCTCAACCACCTGGTTGCCTTTTTATGCTTACAAAATTTCCTGAGCTGTGAGAAAGGCCCATTGTTCTTTCCTCAATTAAAAACCAAGATGGAAAGAGAAGTTCTTAAAATAAGGATTTCTTCCTTTTTTGGTAAATTTCAGAAACCTTTCCAAGCAGAAATAACTAAGAAGAAACTGCCCCTATGGAGAAATATCCAGCATATTCACTTCATTCCTCTCTTTTTACCCTTCCCATCCTGGCCTCATTCCCTCACTCATGATTTAATCTTTTGGAATACAACATGATGTTGACATCATCACAGCATTGTGATTTGTGTGACAATATCACAGACCGGAACGCCCCAAGGATAAGCCAGGCAGTCAACTGAATGAGACAAAGAAATAAGGGTGTACAACAAATGAGGAAAGAAGGAGAGGAAAGGGAAAAGGATACTTAAAAACAAAGAATCAAGAACTGGGCTGGAAAAGGAATGAGATAGCATCGAAGCATCACAAGAACCAAGCAAATTGAGGATCGAGAGCAAGAAAAGCATGGAGGGTTGTTTTTTTAATGGAAAATTGATTCTTGGAAACATGGAACAGGCAGAAAAATTGATGCAAACATTTGACAGAGAAAAAGGTTGGTTGAGTGAAATGCCTATAGAAGAAGGGGGAAAAGTCAAGAAGGGAATCAGCCTGGAGTTGTTACCTACATACTCTCTGCTGCCGTAAAATAAGGCATTAACATCAAATCACAACTTTTTGTGTTTTTTTCAAAATAATATGAACAAGCCATTTCTATAAAGATTTACCAATCTAATTGGTAAAACCCAAAATCAAAGTTTCATTCTTATCTACTTGGAGCACAAAATTCAGAAGCAATCTCCCTGTGGAAATAAAAGTACTTCTTTTCTTTCATCCAAATCCTCAATTTTGCCAACCAGTACCTTTGTTTTACTAAAAGCTGTTCATAAAATCGAATTCCACTGCAAGATGGGAGACTCCAAAAGTAAAGAAAAAAACAAGAAAATAATATTGCAGTGAGAGGTTCTACAGCTAAACTTGCTGGTCGGTGTGAAAAAATAGGGACAATCTCTCCATCCCAGGGATTTTAATGTCATCAGTAAAAGATCTGTGGTACGAGCTCAATCTTAAAAGAAGGTTACCCTTCATTAAAGATGAGGTGTTTTTTTAAAGCTTTTGATATATTTAGAAGTTCGAACCATATTGTGTAGAACTGAGAAATGAGGATATTTAAACATAAATGGATAAAATGTTCAGTGTTTGATGGGCTATCAATCAGTTAATAGTCCTTGACTGCAGGAAGTTGAAGGCATTATTTAGAAAGAAGGGGGGAAAGAGAGATTAAAAAAAACAAGTGTTCTCTGTGACATTTCAAAGCCTTTTGAAGACACTTTCCTCCCCCTTATCCTGGAGGAATAGGTGTGAGGTTCCAATTTTGCTTCATTAACCAAGATCTGGTTAGTTTGTTTTTGCAAGAGATGGAAAAGGTATTGCTGAGCTGCTTTAAACACTCATTCACATATTCCTCTTTTTTTATCACTGAAATAACTGCTGGAATGTCACACGACATCATAAAAATTTAACTGAAAGGTTTTTCTCCCATGCAATCAGAGGCAATAGTGTTTCCATTAAGGAGTAAGAGAAGCATGGGAAATGCCAATGAACTGTTTGTCCAAACTCTAGTCTGAATAAAGCTATTTCAGAAAATTTGAGTTTAGACCAAATCAGGCCAATAAAGAGATCCTTGGCATAAGAGGCAGCTGGCATTACAGGCAGTTCTCAAATTACAACCTGTGGTGACCCAAAGGGGCGTGGCACAAAGGCAATACAGTCAGATAATCAATAAGAATCCCTTTATTAGCTCCAACTTTGCCCCCAATGTCCAGGTTACCTTCTGACTGGAAAAAAAACTCTCCCAGGAGCAACCTTTGATTGCAGAGAATTAAGTCCAAAACATGGTCAACACAAACTGTAACTTTAAGTCCAATCAAGCCAAACTGCGGTAATTAGTTTGGCAGGGTAGAAGCAAGAATCTCAGGCTTGAAGGCACGGCAAAACTCAACATGGTTGGGAAGACACCAGGAACACAGATAAGCTACAACAACACAGGTTAAAATCACTTTGCTCCCAGTAGCCTGCCACACACAGCCTGCCTTTCTTTATCAACTGTATTCCCAGCTGTGGCTAATGAAGGGAATCAGGGCCCTTTCCTCCCCCATAAGCCAGGCAACTCACATTGCTCTCTTCTCCGTTCCTCCCTGCGTGCCCTAGGATGAAGAGGGGATGGGCCTGGGTCTCCATCTGAACTCCCTCTCCCTTGTTCTACCTCTCTCCTGCTCTGCCCAGCTGGACTTTGCCCTTCCCCAGTTTCCTCAACAGCCAACGGAACCGCACTTCCTCTCCCTGTCAGCTGTTTGGCTTCCTCCTCAGCTTCAGACTCCGATAGGGGTATGACCCAACCATTTGTTTAGTGACTGTTTGAAATTACAACAGCACTGACAAAAAGTCACTTATGACATATATTTTTTACATATATGACCATTGCATCATCCCCATGGTCACGTGATCAGAATTCAGGCGCTTGGCCACTGGTTCATATTTATGATGGTTGTAATGTTTTGGGATCATGTGATTCTCTTTTGTGACCTTCTGATGAGCAATGTCAACGGGGAAGCTGGATTCACTTAACAACCGGGTTGCTAACTTTACAACTGCAGTGATTCACTTAACAACGGTGTCAAGGAAGGTTGCAAAATGGGATGAAACTCACTTAACAGCTGTCTCACTTAGCCAGGGAAATTTTGGGCTCAGTTACAGTTGTAAGTCAAGATCTGCACTCTTACCACAAGTCCTCATAATTTAATTTAATGCACATCCTCATTAGGACTACACCCTTCATTGTACAACTTAGAACAACTTTATTGTCACTTTGAATGTACACCAATAGGCATACATTAAAATGAAATTTCATTACATATAGCTCTCAAAGGGTCTAATATACACTACATAAACATGACAAAATAAATAAATAAATATACATGTACCCACATGTACAACACGGAGGAACAATACAGTCTAGTCCAGATAGCTACATGTACATGGCAAGAGAAACAAAACCTGCAAAGTTTACCAGATGGGTGGTATAGGGAATAAAGCTGTTACAGAATCTGGTAGTCCTGCCAGAAATACTTCAAAACCCTCTCCCAGAGGGGAGTAACAGAAACAGGCCATACAATGGGTGTTTGGGGTCTTAGGGCTGTAAGCACATAGTGCTTATAAGCAGCATCCTGAATAACGGGGGGGGGTGAGTTTCCTATGATCTTCTCCGCTGTCCCCACCACTCTCTGTAGGGACTTTCTATCTGAGGCGCTGCTGCCACCAAACCAAACAGAGATGCAGTTTGTTAAAACGCTCTCTATCGTGCCTCGGTAAAAAGTGGCCAAGATAGAAGGGGGAAGATGTGCTCTCCTCATCCGAAGGTGATCCCTCATCCTTCCTCATTTCAAAGGGCAGTTCAAAAAGGATAGAATATCTGGATCAGATTGGAGTTAACTGTAGGGGTGACGATCTATTATGGAACTTGTTTTCTTTTCATCTATTTTTTTTTTTGATACAGACAAATCTGTATCAAAATGCAACCTACATCCTTGAAACAGTCAATCAACTTAATGAGGTTCTCTTCTTCAATTTTACCATATACTATTTGCTCTTACTTCACTTTTATCTGACCCACTATGTTTTATTCTGTTTTATCTCACCGTAGTTATTTTCTCTCACTTCATTCTATCTTATCTCAAAATACAATCTATTTATTGTATTTTGCTGTGGCTGGTGCTCAAGTCTGAAATGGTCAATTGACTAATCCATAAAGTACACCGTATTGTGTTTTGATCTAGTCACTCAACAGGCACGATGATAGCCCACTGTTAAAATGCAGAGAATCATCTCAATGGCTGCCCAGGTTCACCAATTTGTGCTTGGTTTTAATTTGGGGATGGGTGCCCACCCAAAGAATACCATCACTTTCATTCACCCAATGACTTTGAAGATGATTATTTGAGTAGACTAAAATCTCTTACCTCTTACCTCGCCTAGGTCCAATGTCTTCCCTAGCTGCTCTAGTAGATCAGCCCTGGCTGCATTCTTTTTGTGCTTTTTTCCATCATAGTGTTGCTGTGCCATCATTGGGTTGTTAAACCAAGCTGCACAGAGCTGGCAATACCTGTCAGAATCTCTTCTCTGGTGGGGTGGAGACACTGTGGGAGAGCTGTCCACGTGTGGCTCCTTAAGAGAATTCAGGTTTGTTTCTGCAAAAGAAAGCAAGCAGAAATGGAGTCACCCAGGTTCCTATCTCATCATCAAAGCTTCCGATACATCCCTAATTGTCATATTTTGGGTGCCAGGATATATAAAAGATATTGAGACTCTAGAAAGAGTGCAGAGAAGAGCAACAAAGATGATTAGGGGACTGGAAGCTAAGACATATGAAGAACCGTTGCAGGCATTGGGCATGTCTAGCTGAATGAAAAGAAAGACTAGGGGGTGATATGATAGCAGTCTTCCAATATTTATGCCACAAAGAAGAGATGGTCAACCTATTTTCCAAAGCACCCAAAGACAGTTCAAGAGGCAATGGATGGAAACCAATCAAGTAGAGAGCCAATCTAGAGCTAAGGAGTAACTTCCTGGCAGTTAGAACAATTACTCAATGGAACAACTTGTCTCCAGAAGAGTGTGCTCCAACTCTCAAGGTTTTTAAGGAGGGATTGGACAACCATTTGCAGGAAATGGTATAGGGTTTCCTGCCTGAGCAGAGAGTTGGACTAGAAGACCTCCAAGGTCCCTTCCAACTCTATTAATCTGTTATATGAATTGTGTGCCCAGTGGGTATTCTTCTTTCCGCAGTTGCAGAGGAGATATTTAATACGAGAGAATAGAATTAGTTCAATGAAGAAAAACTTGTGATGATAGATAATTAGGTTTTTTGGGGTGGGATACATATTGGAATATACTAAAGCATCTTGGAGATTTGATTTACAGGGACAGTTCAAGATGGAAATCACAGAGTTGTCTCAAGGCAATTCATGTTCCAACATAAGGCTTATAAGCATCTAGAACATTAATATGGATAGCTTAAACCTGACCTGGGTCCAGGAGTCCAGCAGAAAGAGGATTCTGTTTTCATGTTTATCAGATAAAAATGGAAGGTGAGCATCTATGCAAGATCTCAAAACCCTGAAGGCTTCATGCTGTTATTTGACCTCAAGGACCAAAACTGCATCTACCCAGTACCCAATTCAATTGGTCTGTAATCAGGTAGTACCTAAACTGAATTCAATAAATCAATACATAATAAACCCTTTGTCAAGCACAGGAAATCAGGGGTCCAGGCAGTTCAAATCCATCCTTCCTTTCACCCATCTCCTCCCACTTATGACTGTATGACTATTTTTTTTGCTTGTACCCTAACAATTTTTATTGATTGTTTCCTAGTATTATTTGATTGTTTCTTCTACCCTATGACTATTATTAAGTGTTGTACCTGATGGTTCCTCACTCTTGATGAATGTATCTTTTCTTTTATGTACCCTGAGAGCATTTGCACCAAAGATGAATTCCTTGTGTGTCCAATCACACTTGGCCAATAAAGAATTCTATTCTATTCTAAATGCATATAGCAATATACAGCTTTACAGTGCTTTACAGCCCTCTCTGAGCAGTTTACAGAGTCAGCCTCTTGCCCCCAACAATTTGGGTCCTCATTTTACCCACCTCGGAAGGATGGAAGGCTGAGTCCACTTTGAGGCTGGTGAGATTCGAACTGCCAAATTGCAGTCAGCCAGCAGTCAGCAGAAGGAGCCTGCAGTACTGCACTCTTAACCATTGCGCCACTAAGGCTTATATAGGTTTATTGCGTGCTAATATTCTCCACCAGAATCTGAACTATTAACGTTCCAAGCAAATTGGAGGTAGATAAGAATCAACAGAATTCAAAGTGGGCTGGACTTAGATCCCTTGTGGGAACAAAGGGACTTGAGGATGATGATGCATTTGACCCCACCCTCAGGTTCAGCTTGGTCAACTCCTACACCCTCAGTTGAGCACAGAGCCCCAAGTAAATACAGAAGAGTAAATGTTGAACTAGAGCTAGACTGAGTGGCATGGTGGCCTAGCGGTGGAACTCTTGCCTCACAATCAAGAGGCCATGAGTTCAATCCTAGTAGCGGCAGATATTTTCCTCTGGGCGCAAAGAGAAAATATCTGCCGTGAACTCCCTTTAGGTGTCAGGAAGGGCATCCAGCCAGGAAATGCTCAGCTCCATGCAGTCACCCTGACTCCATCTTAATGCAAGAGATTACAGGGTCAGTAAAAGAAAAGAAAAAGGAACTAGAGTAAATCAGTTCCACAGCTCACCTAACCCTACCACCCATTTTCCCGATTTGCTAAAAGGGGATCCTTGGAAAGCCTAGAGCTGAGCCGTTCACTTGGTGGCATCCTCCAGCTTACGTTACTCCACAATTAATAGTCTAGGCCAGTATTTCTCAACTGTGGCACCTTTAAGTTATGTGGACTTCAACTCTCTGGAAAATAATTGATTTCATAAACCATGTTTAACCTAACACCGCATAAACATGTCATGTACATACTGATATTCACCAAGATGGAGGATTGCTTTTTACCTTCATTAGACGACATCTCCAACAAGTTGTGAAACCTGCAGATTTGGAACCTGGGGAACAGTGTGACGTGGATTTATATTCTTAAAAAGATATTTAAAAACCTGTCCTCATATGTCATCTTTCCTAAAATATAGATGGCATATATACACCACCTCCTCAAATTGTTAACCTCCTTTCCCCAATAAATCTTCAAACACTTATCTGGTGCAGTTCTTTGCGTGAGGTTCTGCAGGGAGGGTTGTCGAACGAAAAATTGACTAATTTTTCTTCATACAGACATGTCTTTCAGTACACAAATTTCAAAATCATTCATTCGCAGACAGCATTCTTGAATATTTGGAGTCAATGTCTGGCCAAAAAAGAGATACCTCCTATCTAAGACGAAAGGGCGTGTGTGGAATAATCAGACTTGCAAAATTCTGTTATTATAGCCAATCTCGACAGGAGTAGTTTCAGGCTACCTGTGGAGTTGACTTTCTCGTCTGCTCTACTCAGTGGGGCTGACATCTGCAGACTTTGTTCAATGTGTCATTTGCATAATGGAGTCTGTTTTGGCAGCTCCATTTCCATAGAAACCTGTGATAAATTCCTTTTAAAGTCTGACAATCTAGGTTGGGGTGGGCAATCAGACTGGATGCACATTTTCTTACCCTCTTCTTCTGGAAAATGCACCAACAATATAAGTTAAGCATTGGCTTGGCATCATTTATTAGGCAGAAAAATCCCAACACCCAATGAAACAAATGACTATTTCCCCCTGATCAATTCACTTCCTTTCCTTTGCCATTAAAAGACTGACCACCTGAACATCTAGTTTAGCATCTTGCATCCAACTCTGGCCAACCAGATGCCTCCAAGTAAACCCCAGATAGGGGCATGAAAGCAATATGGTTCGTATTTGTGTGTGTGTGTGTGTGCAAGAAACACAAACAGCTATTTCTCAAATGCTCAGAGAGCCACAAAATTCTCGGGGCTGACATCAAGAAGAAACATACTCACTTTCAAAAGTGGAACCTATTCAGTTTTCAAGCCACGTTCTAATTGCTGCTACTTTTAGGTAGCCCTAAATTTACGAACACAATGGAGGCCAGAGTTTCCATTCCTAAGGGAGACAGCTAAGTGGATCATGGCTGATTTTATTACCTTTTGCTATGGTCCTTAAGCAAATCATAGCAGGCAGGCAGGCAGGCAGGCAGGAAAGAAGGAAGGAGAGGCAAATAAAGAAAGGAGGGGAGGGGAGGGGAGAAGAGAAGAGAAGAGAAGAGAAGAGAGAAAGAAGAAAAGAAGGAAGGAAAGAAAGAAGGAAGGAAGGAGATGCAAATAAAGAAGAGA